TGAGAAATCAAGGCGAAGCGAGACAGAGACTCTCTAATACATTTCAGTGAACATACGTTTAAAATACAAGATACCCTCTCAGAACCAAACAGATTATCAGATTAGATAAATTAAAGAGTATCAGTTGTATCGAACGTGCAATTCGTTCGCTTAGGTACACTTGTACATCGAAAAATATTTATTTCGAATGTAGACCAGAATCTACAGCAGTCTAAAAACTTTATAGAATGCTATTAAAATGTTATAAAAGGATGCAAGTACAGCCCACAGCCTAATGATTTTGACTTTTGTTGATATTTATATGCACTTCATACTCTTTCCGCTCCAAACATCTGCGAAAAACTTTATAGAATGCTATTAAAATGTTATAGAAGGATGCAAGTACTAACCAACAGCCTAATGATTTTGACTTTTGTTGATATTTATATGTACGTCATACTCTTTCCACTCCAAACATCTGCGAAACATATAGCACCCTCTCGGCAAGGGTGTCCTAAAATCATTTTGCGGTTTTTTGCGACAAATTTGTGACTGAGACGTGGTTTGAGTAACTGACAGGCGCCGCATGGGAGGGCGGAGGGCGCAAAAAGAACTTGTATCAGAAATGGCATTGAAATTGTCACAGATGTTGGGCTACCATTCACTCTTTGTTGTATTTTTATACGAACATACATATCCATATATGAATGTACATATCATATGTATGTACGAGTCGAGAGAGGTGGGCGCCATGGAAGCAGACGATAAGGCATTAGAATCCCCCTAACTGGAATTTCAGAGGAAATATTGATTCAAGAATTTTGCCACAAAGCCACATTAGAAAGGTATTCGATTTCCGCTCCGAGCTTTAATGTTCATAAATTGAGTATCAATGGCTTTCACAATCGTTTTAATCATACCGTTTAAAGGGAACTTGGTTTTTATCTAAAATAAAAGAGAACCAAAGTTCAACGAAGTTTTCTAATGTTATGACTGCATTCTGATAAAATAATGAGTCCATTCCATGCCGGTCAGCTCCAAAAAACTGGACCGTAATTAAAAGCTTTAAAATCGATTTGGCATGTACATTTTTCTACGTTGTTCGTTTTTCCCTAAATTGGATTTTTAGCTAAAAGCCTTTTCGGGCTGGCTGGTGTCTATACTTGAGATATTGCTCAACTGATTACAAGGAATAAATAATAAATTGGAATAGAAATGGCAGCCCCGAAAAGTCATTACAGCGATTGTGGTCAAGGCCCTTCCCCCAGTGATGATGATGTCAACGTTCTCAATCATAAATCAAAATTCGTTTGTTTGTTGCAAAAGGGAAACCTGTCAAATATTATCAGGTGGAAAAAGTCATAAACTTCCAGGAGTTTCATGGTTAAAATAGGGAATATCTGTAGCGACACATCCATCATTAATGCAACAAATCGAATTTGTTTCTTGGAAATCACTTATCAATTTCTTCATCAAGCAATATTCAGAGAACTCGTAACACTCGAACACACATTTTTAATTGGTATATTCAAAAATATTAGCAGACTAAAAGATTTTAAAAGTGGTTCAATACGTAAATTTAAATTGTTCAAGTCCAAATAATTTTGTTCTACAGCCATATAGCAAAGTATTCACCAGAAAATACAAACCACTCAGAGAACTCTGTGTCACCTCTGTAAACATCATTCCTGAACTTGTTGAGTATTACACAGATACCACCTTTACAGCAAAGCCACTGACCATCAGCACCTGCATACTCGTAAGTACATGGACTTAATTAATGAGAAACCAAAATAAGATAACAAAATGAACACAGTTCCCGTAAGAGTCTCATGTAGAAGCAACATTTTTTTAATGGTTGATCGATGCGGCGGTATCTTGGTTGGTTTACTCCTATCTAAATTTATTGGCAAATTGATAATAAAATCAAATTGATTGACGATTTAATTCCGATAATAAATATTATGAAATGCTTGTCTCTCTCCCCCCAATGTAGTATGAGAAAACAATGTGTCTATATATATAAACATATGTATGTGTGTACATATTTTATTTTGTATTTATATATATTAATATACAGAAGCATACGTGCCTATTAATATTTATTCATGTGCCCCGCTGCTGTTTCTAGAATCTAGACTCTAGACCGAGATAAACTTGTTTTGTGACGATGTAAAAGCGAGGGCGTTTTTTGCCGATAGTGGGCTACTAGAGATTGAGTCATGAAAATTCGCATGAAAATATTACAAATATTTCAGTAGTATTAAGATTAAGCATACATACATACATATATTTATATATATATTTGACTTTAGTACGCTTGAATCCATCAGCTATCTAATATACTGTAAAAGATTTTTGTTACAAAGATTTTAGTTATTATGAAATCATATTATTATCAATAATTTACTATACAGCTGAAGTCCCTTTCCTAAAATTCAAATTTAGAACCAATTTGAAAGATATATCAGAGAACTACATACACATATGTATGTATATGGATATTCTATCGTTACCAACTTCATTTCGAATTCGTCATGACCTTTGGCAGGGGGAACAGGGCAATGGAAACAACGGAAAATAAAGAGAGAAACCTGGATTAGAATGGTCTTCGGTACGCTCTCTGATTTCTGCGAATCTGCGGATCGGAGATGCTGGAGAGATGACTCAGCAGTCAAACATCGAATTACCAAAAGAGAGGAGAGAAGAACAGAGAAGAGGCATTTGCAGAAGTGTTGGTTTCCACTAAAATGTCATGTTTGTTATGCGTTATCTGCTTGTTGCCAAGCAGAATAGTGGCAGAATAGCCGAAACGTGCGGAACGGAACACAGGAATTGCTTCAGAACCGATGCATATTGGATAGCCTTTACAGATCGATCGATACCATAGCATAGTGAAAGTCATTCCATTCCAATCATATAACAGAACAAAAACATTGCCACATTGGGGTACGGCTATAGGGGACCTTCAGTCGCAAAGGCTTGTTGTTATACCCTCTGCAAATGGTATAAAACCAGCAAATATTATGCACAGTGGCAGGAAAAAGTCTATGAACAACCAAAATATATGTCATCTGTATAGTATCTGAGAAAAAGTATCTGAAGAAAACGGATTGCTTCTGAACTCTGGCGATAGTACAAGTGGAGGTCATGAACTGATTTTTGTCAGACACTGTGTCGTACATGTGTACATATGTACATATTTCGGAATGCGAAACGGGAACAGCAACAACAACAACGCTAGACAGCAGTAGCAACAAAAGTGGAGCAAATCGGAGAGCGGGGAGAAGATGGAGAAGAGAAAACAAGCGGGAAAAGCAGAGCAGAACATAGAGCCAGGCCAGACAGCCGGCAACAGACTCAAAATAAACTCAAGTGCACTTTTGGTAAGAAAATTTCAACAAGAACAAAAAACTAGAGAAAACGCTTCGCTTGGAAAAAGAAAATTTATAAAAGATGGCTAAAAATACGCAGATATATGTACATATTTCCTCTACACGTCCGCTGCTTTATTTCCTCATATTCCACGCACGTTTTTTCACTGTGTGGGTTTCTTTACCGCTAGGTTTCGAAATCGACAGCGACAACAGCAACAACAACCACAACAAATCAGCCGGCAGCTGTTCTGCTTGTCGGTTTTTGCACCCCCTCTCCTACCACTAGGACACAAACAGTCTCTCTTGGCTAGACCAACGAAGCGTATATTACATGGAAGGTATGGCAGTACCACTCAACAAATATTGCATATTTCATATCCCCTCGGGAGGCGTTACTTTCTTCTATTCTTAAATGTAGATTAAGACGCTTTTCTAATGTGTGAGATAACACCAAAATTCTAAACTTATCATCTAGAAACAGTCTTGACTACGAAGTAGAGGATGCTCTTTCGCACTGCCTTACCTTATATTAAATATGCCTTTGGTCAGGCTCTCCATAGAATTTGTTTTGATTTTTGATTCAGCTTGAATATTGCGATACACGTTATTAAAAATTTTTCCCGCCAGCAACAAATGAAATGTTGAATTAATACAAACAAAAATACTGCCCCGCAGGGGTCGCCGGGGAAAAGGGCGCGCACAATTTAAACACAAAACACAAGCCACAAACACACACGTCGAGCGTACTGTAAAACACACAGCTTGCTTCTCATTTACATATACACATCACGTACAGGTATGTAAATGTATTATGTATATTTTCGAATATTTTTAAAATAATTGAGTTGTTACTACCGTTGGACACAGCCAAAGCAAAATCGGCCCGCTGCGTGTGCTCTGCCGGGCAGTATGATACTATTTAAAAAAAAATACCGTAAATATCAGAGGAAAAATCGAACTTAACCCACTTAACCCCCCTATATTTGAACAGGTGAGAAACTTGAGTTAAATTTACACTTTCCTTGTGGCTCAATTTTTCTTTTTTACTTGCAAAAAAAATTAGCCGCGATATCTTTTACCTAAACTGTTCTGTAACTCCTCAAGTTTCATAGTTTTTGTGGGAATATTAAAATTATCTCTGGGTCGACAATGGGCTAAGGTTCTTTTTTTTTGATCGGAAGTCATATTCCTCGTATTTGATATTCGGTTTAATATTACTAGCTTGCTAAGACTTTTATCCCTGAAAATAAATATTGTATCAGATAGATGTATTAATTTTCTAGAAGATTGGGTAATTTTAAGGACAACTTTTTATTGGATTTTTGAGAAAATAAGGTTTAAATAGAAAAGGTCCACAACATATAAAATCATAGAACGTAAGTGGGAATGAAATGTTACGTAATTTGAACACTTGTTGCTTGTCAAACGGTAGGATGGACTTCTTTATACCCAATTTCCTTTAATTAATGCTGCAACTCTGTAATATACTATATACGTACCTATTCTTGTTCCTCCATAAAAAGACAATAAACTGAATCATTTCGTTGAGATGGCTTTAAAATAGATACTGAGTAGCTTCTGCCATCATTGGAGCCTGGCATGGAAAACATTTTAACAATTCTATATTATCCATCTCCCTGAGGGTAGCAGAATGTTGCTAATACAAATGAATGTTGCCAACAGTAAAAAACGTAAGTGGGAATGGAATGTTGGAAAATTGTTGCGATAATACCGATGTTTCGAGAAGATATGGATATCCCACCACCAAAAGAGAGCAAATCGTAGCACTGAGAGCGCTTGATAACAGAAGCAAAAGCCGGCAACCAAGGTGTATTAAATCAAGGTAAGAAATTGCCAGAGAAATCTCTTTTCCACTTTACATTGCTGGATTTCAATACAATTATAACCACATTGTTCCTCTGGCTTGCTAGCTTGTTTGCTACGCAAGCTTTATTTTGGCACAAAGAAGTTTGTATTTATTAATATGTAATTAATTGAACACATTTAAATTTAATGATTATATTAATAAAAAAACAGTTTAGTTATTTTCCAATTTTTTAATTTAATTTAAACTTTGACCTGAGGTCAGTAACCGACCCAAATTAGCACAAACGTATAAAATTTCATTTGCATTTGACCAAATTTTACACACGACGAATAACTCGGTGAGTTTTAGCCTAGTTTTATTTTTACTTCAATAAGCAAAGCTTTGTGGATAATAAAAACAAGCTTCCAGAAATTTAAATCACAGCTCCAGTTTGTGAGATTCTACTGTAAAATTTTCGTGTTCCGCAAATTCTATAAGTCGCATTTATCTATAATTCGAATTTACTAGTATCTGTCGCAAATAGATATCCGGTAATTTCAGGTACAGAAGCTCGACACGTTTTTAATTGGTTTCTGGGATATGAACGAGAAATTTCTGAATTCCCCCATTTCTTTTGTAATTCCTTTCCAATTTTGTCGTTTTAATGAAAATGTATGTGGTATAATTGAGGAAACTGGCGAGCCGAAACGCAAGGAGCAAGTGAGTTTCCTGCAGTTGAAATTGATTTTTTTTGTGTGCATAACAATGCACCAGCGTGGGCATGGGCTGGGCTGGGTCCTCTGGCAAGGATAACAACACGTTTGCCATTCCCTTATAATTGCAAGCCTGTGTGTTCTGCTGCTGCACTTGGTTGGTAAACATTTCAATATATGTAGTTGTAGGGTTCGTGGCATTTCCATATCGATTGGTTGGTTGGCTACCGACATTCGCCATTCGCGTGGGTGCAGCCATCTATCTAGGAGTACCTCCCTCCCACTCATATTACGTAGCATCTCAGCAGTATAGTTCTCTCAGTGCTTTGCTGGACACATTATCCTTGTACTTGAACGGTTGCAGGCTAAGTGCACATCATTGAATCCTAAGGACAATCCACTGGAAGATTTCCTTACGAAATTGCGTCGTCCGTTTCTGTCTGCCTAAAGAAGAACGAAATTGCTTCTATTATGGTGAGTATATAATTTTGCTAATGATTTCCAGCACTGACAATGGCAGAATAATCCTGATTAGATTTGTTTCATACTCTTAGTTGTTGCTGAAACCTTTGAAAAACGTCTCGTACATTTTTTGTACAGGTTTTTCCCACTCACAGTTGAGATACTGTGCCTTGATCAGCACTTTATTCATGTGCTAGTTTATTAGTATGTATTTAGTATTTATTTTAAAAGCCAAACAAGAGTATAAACTTTTACAAGTCTTCGGGCGCCATGCGAGGCCTGCCATCTGGGCAGTTATTGGTTTCATTCAGTGTAAATATATTTTGCTTCGGTCATTACTTGGTCACAAATTTTCACTTTTACACACTCGGGAAATTGCCAAAGAAAAAAAAGATTAACTCATTAAACTTCGGTATTCTATCATCAACAGACCTATTTTCGTCCTTACTCCCAACTGCTGCCATCGCTTGACTCGAGACATACAAGCGAATGCTGCAAAAGAGAATTTTAGAGAATTGCAAAAACAATTCAAATTGCTTCCACATTAAAAAAGCCAACCCGCCGCTAAATTGGGAGATATTCTGGGAAGGATGATAAAATATGGATATCTCAAATATTTGAATGGATAGAAAATATATTTCTCAATTATGGCGATTAAAGTCGTTTTTATTATGCGAATTCTGCCAAAAAGAAATATTTATCCGATTATCATCAATTCACAAATAAAAACCATTTCTATTCCAATTTCACCAAAAATTAGCTAAATTTTTCCTGTGCACAGGGAAAAACAATGGGAATTGCTGACAATTCGATAAAGCATAAAGGAAATCCCCCAAAGTGCCTCAAAGACAAACGAAAAGAAAAACCAACACAAAAACAAAAACTTTGTGGGAAAAGTTTTGGCCTTCAAGAAGTCTCTCTCTCTCTCAAAGAGCCTCAATGAGGAGCAAGACCATACTTCAGGTTCATTAGACTTGAATGCAAAGTGTGCGTGCGGCTTAAACTTTCAGCTGAAAAACATCATGATAATAATAATAATATTGCTCAAACCGAAACCCCCAACACTGTGGGAGGCACTGCTGCGGCGGGATATTATGTAAGCGTCAGGCGTTGCTCAAGGACGCACACACAAACACACAGCAGAACCGAAAATAGCAAAATGCCAGCTGGAGACAGACGTACAAATCAGGCGGCTTCTCCCTACCAATACCCGCCATATCCTTCAGACAAACAGATAGGGGATGGGACCCACTCTCCATAATAGCAAATGGAATACTACTACAACGATTTTATTGCATATTATACTTTTGCAATGACCATGGAGGAAGGACAACAGACGGAGGACGAACGGACATTGAAGGAGCCCCACGCAGCAGCATTTGTAAATCAGGGGAAAATACAAAACTTGAGCTGTAGCAGTGGACGTTTGGGGCGTGACAAATAGACAATAGTAATGGCTTTGCCGCAGAAGAGAACGACTGCCAAAAACTAATAATCCGAATGACAGTAAACTCCATTTGCCAAGGAAACAGGAAGCTAACATTTCTCTGGGGAAAACTACTTGTATTTACAGTGAAAGCTGTCTTTGCAGGACTAGGTTATCTTAAGAAAAAGATTCTTGGGATTCCCTCAAGGGAAGATAAGGGAGTCCTAGATAGCCAAATTTATTCATTAAGGGGATTATTTATGAATGAATGATATTAAGAAATCGAATGAAAATTTGTTGTGAAAGTCTTTCCCATTGCAATGCAATATACAAAATGCTCTTCAGAATTTACACATTATACGTTAATACTTAAATTCCTTACCGTCCAAACAACTTTTAACAAATCTAACAGCAAAAGTGTTACTGATGATTTAAAAAATGAAGCTTAACCTTCTTCTGACTGACTGACTGCTTAATAAAGATCAAAGGATTACCTTTCTCAAGGGTATCTCAATCCCTCTGTCTTTCAAGTTCATTTCTGTCGAAGGTCAGCCCTGCAATTTCTTTTTTTGGGCTTCGATGCCATTGTCCACATGACAAAACAAAGTTATTTACTTGGACAGGAGGCAGTTGGAAGGAACAACAACAGCGGTACAATAACGAAACATGGCGCCCTGCGGCTCATTTATCATTATATAAACTACACACACACACACTCAGATTCACTGCACACACATATGCACACTGAAAGCTCATACAAAAACCATAGCACACTTTTGAGCGTTGGATGCAGCTGCGTCTGTGAGACGCCGTTATTATTGTTCTTGCAGTAGCAGCAGAGGAAGCTGCAGGGGCAGTGCCAGAGTCTGGGCAAGAGGCAGAGGCTGGGGAAGATACAGTGGCAGATGCAAAGACCGGGGCAGAGGCAGCAGCAGATGCAGTGGCAGAGGCAGAGACCCGGTAAAAGGCAGCAATGTGTGACGTAAAAACAACATCGGCATTGGGCGTCCGGCATTGTCAACTTGTTTTTGTTTGGCCTAGGTACCGTTACGCGTACTAGTGGCGCGCTTCAGTTACATGCGCATTCGATAGCAAAAACATCTGTTTGCCGATTGGCGTGGGGGAGAGCGAGCGCCACACAAAAGGGGAGAGAGTGTAAGCTGTATTAAGGTAGGGTGAAACTCTCTCTGCAGTTGTTTGAGTGCAAGAGAACCAGAGACACAATGGGAAACAAACAAGAGAACGCCTCACCTTTTGTGAACTTAACTTGAGAGAGCCCAATTTACAAAGAAGGGAGAGAGAGACATCCTTTTTTTTACAAAAGCCGATGACGGGATGTTTTTTTTTCTTTCTGATGGTTACCATTTGAATTGGACCATTAGGATTTATGTCTTGGCCACAGTGATAACTAGATTTATGGCCAGCTATTATGCAATTGGGGACATGAGCTCCTGTCTAGACCGAACAATTGTTTTTATTATATAAGGATGAGAGAGAGTGGGAGAGGGAGAGGGAGCATGTAACTTACCGTTAGTATTTTAGATTTGCTCACAGATACGCCTTATATATATTTATTTAAATATTTATAGATTTGCCAAGCCTTTAATTTATCAGTAATGATCAACTCTTTGATATCCTTGACTTTTGGTTTTTCTTTTAAATCCTGCTTTTTACCGTCTTATGGCACTAACATAACGGGATTCTCAGTATTAATAGCACTATGTAATACACTTTCACACACAAACACACACGCACAGCCCGATATTTGTTGTTGGATGTGGGGGAGGAAGGAAGTGGGGGAGTGTCGCTAAGGCGGCGACGGCAACGGCAACGGGGCAACCACGGAAGGGAGCGACAGTCCGTCCGGCAGAGCAGGGCGACGGCCTGCTCCTGCTTAAAGTGAACGCTTTAGCACATTAAAGATCTGCATTAGATTTGCCGTTTTCATATAAACAGCAACCAATTTGATGTGATTTTTGTGGAAATTTGTGTACTTGCTGAAGTAGAACTGGCGCGTGGACATTTTCATTGCCAATTCGATGGAGATGGAGCCACGGCGCACTGATGACTGAATTTTCTCTACCGTTACCCTTGCTGGCAATGGTATAAGTCATGAGCATAAGGGACCTATTTTGTTTGCCCACGCTCTCTCTTGTGTCTTGCATGCAGCAGGATGTCTGCCAGGGATGATACAACCAGTTCGATAGGTATCGGTGCAGAGCAATCGACTGGCATATGGGACGTCGCAAAATGTATAAAATAATGGTATTTCTGAAACATATTTAAATTTTTTCTTGATGTTCAAGTTGAAGTTGAAATCTTTTTAGGAATCAAAAATATGTATTCAAAAATTAAAAGAAATTGAAAAAGCGTAAACACGATATTGCTTCATAACAAACAAGGTTGATTCTTTATTTCATTTCGATTCAAAATTTAAACAGTTTTCAAGCAAAACTGCCCCAAAACCGCTTAGAATTTGTGCGCACATTTCTCCATAGAACAAAACCGACTAAAATTTAAGTTAATATGTTTGGAAGAATCGAGTTACAATATGTTTAAGTACACTCAGCCTGGAACGGCAGTAGTCAACAAAAGGAACACACATACATAAATATGTACGGACTTAGGTTTATAAAAGATAGGAAATATACGTATATGGGGGAAAGAGGAGGAGATCTGTGCGTCTTGTGGCAAATGCAAAGGCAATAAAGGGAAGGGTAAGGAAAGTAAAGGAAAGGAAGGAGGGTCTCTAGGGTATGCCTAACGTACAAACTAAACGATAAGTACATAATTAAGTCTTTTATCAAAAATCACAAAAAGCAATAAATCAAACATGCCTCTGCACCAAGATCGTTCCCATGTGGATCACAGCTTGCACAGGCAGAAAAGCAGCGGTATGAAGGCCCCGATGGCGATAAACACTGGAAGCAATATGGAAGAGTCGTCCATCGAATAGGGATTGGGCTGACGTGGTCCGCTAAACGCGCGCTTCGAGTCGGGCGTCTGGGATTGGGATTGCTCTTGGCGTTGCTGTTGCTGAGGCTGCTGTGGTGGCTTTTGCTGCTGCTGATGTTGTTGCTGCTGCTGTGGTGGTGGTGGTGGTGGTGCATACTGCTCGGGCATGTCCTCCTCCTCCAGCTCATCCAGATCGTCTAGATCCTCATCATCTTCGTCTATATCGTCGCGTTGAGTGCGCACCACACGCTCCTGCTGTCCCTGCTGATTGGGCTTCTCCGGACCAATCCTTGTGCTGGCCTCCGATGTGGGAATTTGACTGATGTCGCCTTTGAGCAGGGCAAACGCATTGATCTTGGGATTGTCCAGGGCTCCCTTGATAAAGTCCAGCCGCAGCTGGCCATTCCGCACATCCGATACCTCGCCCAAGTAGTGCAGTCGCCCGTTGTTGATCTTGAAGTAGACAATCTCGTCGTGTGCGGAGCCACGGCCCACCTGTTCGTAGATGTCCAGCTGCCGAATGACCGTGTGCTTGCGATTGAGCAGCACATCGAACACCTTGCGGCCGGGGGCATCGAAGTACACCTCGCAGAACTTCATTATCAGCGCATAATCACCGTCGCCATCGGTGGGGAAGTCATAGCCAAAGGTCGTCGTGTGGTAGCGCTCCGTGCGATACAGCATCTCGTCATGCTCGTGCGTTCGTCCAATCATCAGCAGATGCTTGCCGTAGTCCGAGGCAATGCCCACATTCTTCAGCGGATCCGCCTCGTAAGTAATGCCATTGCGGTCCGTGTGCTCCTCACCGCCGGCATTCACGGCGTACACAACCTTCAGGGGATCGGCGGAGGCCGTGGCGAGGCAGCAGCAGCTGCCGATGAGCAACAGCAGCACCATGGGATGCACTCGTCTGCATCCAGCATTACTAGTACCACTTGCCTGCAAGTAGTCTCCGCCATCGCTGCATGCTACGTTGCACATGTTCTCAGCCGTTTTTGTTGTTGTTAATTTGAGTTTCTTCTTCATGGCAAGTTTTTTGGGGCTACCGCCGGGCACTGCTCTGCGGTTCTTTTCTGGGGGCGTCCACTCGTTGGTGCGACACGTGGCTCCGATCGGAGCTTTAATTGAATCCTTAACTGCACAGTGGATTTAAGCCCAATTGATCCATTAACAATATTTTTTTATTAGTTATTTTCAGGATAGGGTTGTCGAATATCAACATCAAAATATCAATATATCGATATTTTTTCAAAATAAAAATATATTTATATCGTGTTATTTTTTCCACAAAATGATATCTTTTTTTATATTTTTTCGATGTTTTGCTACTGTTCAGCTACTAACAGTTACGGTAAGGTGTTAGGAGATAGACTGTTGAATTTTCTGCAAAGAGAGAGATAGCATGCGAGGCAAAACGCAAAATTATTTTTCTTAGCCGTCTCTAGACACGTCTCAGGCTTTCAGTCGCACAGCTGAAGGCACCATTTGCTTAAAAATGATGTTTTCAAGCAAAACACAGCCACAAAGCCAGCAAAATTGCATCCGCAAAGTAAAACAATCGATTAACCGCTGCACCCAGCTCAACTGGGAAGAGAGCTTGCCGCATATAGTTCTCTCGCTCTGACTGCAGCATTTCCCACAGAGCCATCTCTATTTTTCCTGCTGTTAAGTTATCAAAGTCTGATGTCATATAGCTATAATTGGGAGAGCGATTAGCACAAAAAAGAAACCATACATAATATATTTTATACCGAGGAATTCGATTTCAGCAATTATATTGAAAAACTAAAAGTATCAAATACATTGAAATTTTTCAGATATTTTATCAAAAAAAAAAATATATATATCGCCGATATTTTCAAAATACTTGGCAGCCCAGCCCTAGTTCAAGAACAGTGTGACTGACCCTCAACAATATACCAAAATATACTTTGTCATATGTTTTTTGCTGTTTTTTTGCATTTGCGGTGCTGTGCAAAGTGCATAATTAATGCAATATAGGGGCAATGTGCCCTCCCGCTGGTTGTTTGCGCGTAATTTGCTAATCGTCAGTGCTGCTGCTGCTGTCAAAAGCCGGAAAGCCTTCGCCTCGCCACGACCAAACAAGCGGATGTTGTGTTCTCCGACCAGAATGACAGACCAGCAGACTTGTGATTCATCCTACATTGCCGGCAGCAGTTCGGTGGCCTTTGTGACCACACCGGACAAGCAGTCGGCCAAGAAGTTGGCGCACGGCATCATAGACCGTAAAATAGCCGCCTGTGTCAACATTATACCAAAAATCGAGTCGATATACATGTGGGAGGGCAAAGTCACCGAGGACGATGAGTATCTGATGATGATCAAGACTCGCACGGAGCGCATCGACGAGCTGAGCAAGTTCGTCCGCGAGAATCATCCTCACAGTGTCCCCGAGGTGATCTCCATTCCCATAGAAAATGGCAATTTGACCTATTTGAACTGGATTGCACAGACAGTGCCGGAACTGAAGAAGAACAAAGACTAAACTATACCCAAACATACAATATGTAATGAATATATTTCGAATTAAACAAAAAAACAAAAACATTTTCAAAATATACCGAGGAAAAAAACGAACTATGGCCACTTAACCCCCTTTGTCTTTACTTAAAAAACAAAACGACCACAATATCTTTCACCCGAACTGCGTCAAAATTCTTAAATCTTCATCGATTGATGAATACATTTTCTACAAGATTCTTTTACTTTGAAGACTCCTATTTTTATTTTTTTGTTTGTAACTAGTGCTGCAAAACGCGGACAACTGGTCAGGGCTCAGACAGTGTTGAAACTGCAACACAGAAAGAGATGAGGAGAGGAGGAGGAGGATAAGAAGAAGAATAACCCGGTAAAAAATATAAAAATTCCGAGCGAAATGGATATAGAAAGAAGAAAAAAACTATGTGCCGTTATTTTAATGCAAAATACCTATATCATTGCACACCTGCTGGAGAAGCAGCGTCAGCGACAGCGCGAGCGACAGCGACAGTGCCAGCACCAGCGGCAGCACCAGCGGCAGCACCAGCGCCAGCACCAGCGCAAGAGAATGTTGGGCTCTTCGATCCTTCCATTGTAACGGCAGACGGACAGGGAAATAGCACCAGATCAGTTAATTTTGGAAAAGGTGAGGCCCATTTAGTCATAATTAGTTGGTAGCCAGGCATCTCGAAGATGCACTCAATCACTGGCCAAAGCTGTCGCCGATCCCAATAAGCCATCCATACTGAAAACATCTTACACCGCGTATCGTTTATAATATATTGAACTTATATTAATGATGATTGAAACATTGAACATTGGAATGATGAATAATAATAATAATAATGAAATGAACAGAATCAAATTTACAGAATTTATCTGTTCTGTTCTGTAATACAGCAGTTGGTCCATTCTTCGTTTATATGCCTCCTGTATTCGTTTCCTCCTCGAAATCTGTGATACAATTTATCTTGCCAATTTTGATTTCCAAATGGATAAAATATTTTTATGGTCTTGGCCAAATTTCTGGCATTTCGTTTGCTCATAAGGAGCCTATTTTTGACAAAATATTCCACTATTATTTTTGACAGCAGCTTGCCATGTGATTTAAATAATCTTTTTTTTTTTATTTGCTCTGTTCAATATTTGCTTCCCACGGTCTTTTTCATTAGCATTCCATAGGATGGAGTAAGCAAGCATTTGAGCTAGACCTGGACCACGCTGATAAGGCCTTTGATGTGGTCGACGGTGTAGAGACCGTCCCCGATGTCGACTGCGATTCAATGTCGGAGACTTCCCGGGCGGTGTCCTCCATGTCTGCAGGTGGCCATGCTCCGTGCCGTTCATCAACTTGTTCATCTTCCTGTTCCTGTTCCCGTTCCTGTTCCCGTTCGTGTTCATCTTCGTCATTGAGTTCATTCGCCGCTGATGATGAATCATCCTGTTTTTTTCGGTCCTGTTCCTTGTCCCCCTCCTCCTCATCGGAATCGGCCCGATTGTAATATTTTTTTATTGTTACGTTGACAGTATGACATTTCTAAAAATTCATGTTGGCGGTTTACGTTCAAAATCACAACAACTGTAGAAAAAACAGTGAAGATATTTAGAGAAATCGATTGCAGACATATCGATTTCAGACATATCGGCTAATCGGCTTTCTTTATCGTTAAAGCGGACCAAGACGAGCAGTGATATGAATAATTCTGTGTCGTCTCTAAGTGGTCAAATATCGAAGCGCGCCTCCCAAGCGTCGTCCCTTAATGAGGCAGACTCCATGCCATTTGAGGAGCTGGTGGGCGCCTGTTTGGCGGATTCCGACGACGAGGAGAAGCAGCAGACGCCACGATCAGGTAAAAAAGTGTTATTTATTTAAAAGTTTATTTTCACAGCAACAGCCGCCTCGTCGGGAGCGGAGATTTTCTTCAATACCTCCATAGCCGAAGAGTATGCCCACAATGGCAACTACATGCCGCCGTCATCAGCTCATAGCGGAGCGGGAGGGTCGACCGAATCTCCAAGAACACCAAAAATTAAAAATATCATGGAGTATTTGTTTTTAACCTTTGATAGGACAACAAATGTTGGAGAACTTAAGCGGCTTATAAAGTTTTTGGAGCGTCCGGCGCATCTGGATGAGATGCACCGAGGGAAAGTAAACATGCTGTAATCGTTGGGTTCCTTCAAAAGAAACCCCTTTTTTTGTACTTTGACGAGTACTATTTAATGCGTATCGTAAGTGTTTAATTAATTAATATTACTTGTAAAATTCAAACATTTATATATATATATTTATTTAATATTTTCAGCCATGCCTAAGGACACCAAGTGGTCAGGGCAAAGTTAAAATGAGGGTGCTGGCCTTCGCTGCCATCTACTTGGACGGCAGCAAATTTACCTATGTATATATCCGAGTGGTAAGTTGAATTATCTCGCTTTTATATATGTTGATATAGCTGCAAACCGTAGATCCAAGCTTGGCAAGGATAAAATAAAATCGGCTCTTAGGATCGTTTTGAAGCAAATCTCCAAACTGGGCCTGGACAAAAATCTAATGGCCATTGTGTCCGACCATAATAAATCGAATATGGATGCCCTAAGGTCGGCTGCACAGGAGTACCCAGTCATTTGGGATATCTTCCACCAGCGAAATGTTGCAGCATTACACCTGAACACCGATGCAACGGTACAGAAGTTATACGAGCAACAATATACTGCCCTTAATTGGGCGGAAATATTCTCAGGGACGCCGACCGACGATGGAAATAGGATCGAGGTGGAGGCCATCCGGAAGATGGTGGAGAAGTACTTCTCGACGCCGAATAGATCTCCACTAAATGTTTCCCGCATCGACTCCAGCAAATTTGAAATGATGGGCCGCATCCTGAAGAAGCACAATGAACGAAATTATGGCGTACGCAACTACGCAGGCTCACCAAATGGCAGAGCTAAAAGAAGACCCATTATACTACGTCACCCGTATTGTTGGCATAATATTGTTGTTAAACACGTCCAAATTCGCAGAAATTACTCGTTAACACCATTATCTTAATTTATCTATATTAATTATTATAAAAATAAATTAATTATAATGTTCCTTAACTGTATTAATTATTATAAAAATAAATTAATTATAAATGTTCCTTAATTAATTATTATTTATTTTTTTTCCCACGGTCAACTGGGTGTCGACTGACGCTGGGGCCATGGCCGCACCTCTCGTGTTTACCGTTGCACACAGTATTAATGCGTCAATGGCAGTACATACGTACATATTTCTAGAAAAATATACTGGCTGGCCTGCAAAAATATACCTATTTCAGCATATTTCCAGGGCTGAACTATGAAAAACTCTTTACAGCACTTCTTTTTAGCTGTTAACAGCTGCAGACCAACACTTTACAACACTAAAATCCTATCCGCTACACGTGCATTGGCTGTGATGGAACTTTTGTTGGGAAATAATTCAGAAAAAGTAGTTATAATAGCATAAAACAAGTACATTTCAACTACATTTCAAGTGCTCACGCACTAAAGAGTCGGCTAGCAACCCTAACACCGCCAGGCAGCCATGAATTTCGACGAAGAAGACCGACTAGAGCTGCAGTATTTGGCTGGCGGCAACATTGTGGAACATCCGCCCGTCTTTTCACCTGAAGGAAGGTTAGTAAAAGTCAGCCAAAGACCTCACAAGTACTTACCACACCTTGTTCCTTTAGATTTATCTTTGTACGATGCGGCCAAAAGGTTCAGGTCTATGTGACCAGCACGGGTGAGCTAACCCGCGTCCTGGACGACGCCACGGCTCCACTGATTAGCCTGGAGCTGGACCAGAAGCAGCCAGAGCTGCTCCTGGGCTGCACGAGCACTGGCCAGCTGTTGCGCTGGAACTGGCGGGCGGGCGTTCTCAAGAAATCGGTGCCCCTTAAACTGGGGGACTTGCAAATTTTAACCTGCAACCTGATGAATCTGTACAGGGGCGGCGACACCGCTTGCGCCTTTGTGACGGTCAAGCGGAAGAGTGGCAAGCAGATCGATTGGTTTGTGGTCAACACAAACACTGGGGAGAAGCTCGAGGTCAAGTGTGGCCTCAAATTGAAGTGAGTTTTTGGTTTAATTTCGGTTGAACTCGGTTTCTAATTTGAGTGGCCTTTTTGCAGACTGCGTACACCCGTTGTGGATGTGGGCAAGGGTGAGTTCAAGTACATCATTTTGGCCCAGGGTTTCTATGTGTATTTCATCAACTATGAAACGTGGAACTTCTGTCGCTACAAGAATGCCAACCAGAATCCCATTACGTGTGTCCGCATGAGTCCCAGCGAGGAGGTGGTAGCCACCGCCGACACAGTGGGACGCATCTTTGTCTGGCGGCAGTTTGAGCAGCGCGAAGCCATGACCAATGCGCTGTTTCATTGGCATCACACGGAGGTGACCAGCCTGGCCTTCTCCCCATCCGGGGCGACACTCTACAGCGGTGGTCATGAGACTGTGTTGGTCAAATGGCCCCTGGACAGGCCCGAGGAGCGTAGGTACTTGCCCCGCATGGCCAGTGCCATACGCCACATTGTGGTGAGCGCTGACAATGAGCATGTGCTCGTGTGCACCGAGGATAATGCCATACAGCTGCTGGGAGGCAGCAATAGCATCATCAAGTCCACGGTGCAGCATTTTACATACGAGGTGAAGGATCAGACGGGCAGGAGCAAGTTCCCTTTGGGGTTGCGTTTGAATCCGCGTACCAATACGTTGGTACTCAATGGCAGGGCAGGACATTTGCAGTTCTATTCGGCATACACAAAGAATTTGCTCTACAATGTGAGTTGCTTTTTGTTGTGGCTTCCCTTTTTCCTTTCTTTACATTTTAGTTGCTTTTTTGATAGCTTCGCGTGGTGGACAATAACATACACAGCCATGAGGATAGCTTGATTGTGTACAATACCCGTGTGAGTCGTGCCGCATTCAACATCAATTGGATGGCCACTGGCGAGGTGTACAATGATTTGGAGAACTTTCCGGAAGTGCGTCTCAAGTTCTGGCAATACAATGAAAAGCTACAGAGGTACACGTAACCAGAACCAGAAATAATGTTTATCCCTTGCTAAAACACAAATATTTATAGCTATATTCTGAACACGGAAATTAATCTGCCGCATGAGCAGGGCTTCAAGGACATCATCTTCTCCAATCAATTCCAAGTGGACAATCTGCGTTGCGCCACTGCTGGCAAGGATAATGTGATCAAGGTGTGGGGCATCACCGACTCCGAGAACATTTACAGGCGCGGCATTATGTGGAGCTGCTTGGCCCAGACGAGCTACAGGAACCTGCCCATTGGTTCCATCTGCTTCTCCCAGGATGGTTCTCTGCTGGCTGTGGGCTATGGCAACATTTTGGCGCTGTACGATGCCAGGAATCCCTGCCTGCCGCTACACTCTCTCAGCTGCCCGCCAGGCCTAGACGGTGTAGTGTCGAAGGCGCAGCTGCGTCTGGCCAAAACAACGCTAAATGGAGCCCGCAAGGAGCTCATTCAGCAGCGGCAGCAGCTGTGGACCATCTTGAAGACCCTATGCAGCAGCGACGACAAGACATTGGTGGAGAAGGCCAAGGATATGATTGTGGGTCCCCCAGTGAAGGGGAAGCAAATAAAGGAGCCTGAGGCGGCCAGCAAAGAGTCGGTGTACAAGTACATTATGAAAATGTCCGAGCTGTCCCTCCACCAGAAGCTGCAGCTACTGCGACGCTTTGGCATCGAGTGCAGTGTGCCCCTCGCCTTTCAGAAGCAGCTTATGGAGCATCTGCAGCGGTGTGTGGTGCGACCAGAGGCCACCAGAGTGCGCCTTAGGAAATTGGATGCACGTTTGCATCGCCTGCACACGCGGCATCGCTACAAGGCCAAGCATCGGTTGGATCAGCTAGGCAGACGGCGACAGAGCTATGAGGATCTGGTGCAAACGGATGTAATGGCTCTGTTCAGCATACTCAAGCTGGATGACAACACCACACCGAAGCAGCCGCCGGCCAAGCGGAGGCATCTTGACACAATAGCACCCAAGAGAATACCCCCCGCAGGCGGCGCCCATGCAAGGACTGGCGCAGATATCGCATGTGCAATTTGGTGCCGGCTCTCAGGGCCATTTGGTGGCAGTGTGCACAGATTCGCGAGTGTTGATCTGGAACCTGCTGACGCTGCGCCTGCAGGCGGGACTCAAGCTCTCCGTGCGGCAATTGGCCTTTGATCCACTGACGAATCTAATGGCCGTCATCACGAGGAATGACGAATGTGAGTTGGGAATGGGAATGGGAATGGGAAGAGACCAAGAGTAACCAAGAGACCTAATCAATCGTTCTTTGCAGTGCATGTCTTCCAGCCGAATGTACCACTGCCGCTCTACCAGCGCAGGAATCTGCCCAAGACCTATGGCCTGGCCTGGCTGCCTCGCCGTCAGCCCAAACAGAACTCCATTAATCTGGACTGGCAGGCGCAGTCCACGCTCCTGATGCTCACCCACACGCAGGAGATTGCCTACCTCGCGACGCCCGGCCAGAGTCCATCCGATGATGCCCCAGCACCGATAAGCTTTGCTCCGTCGCCCGCCGTCACCGAGAACCTGCTGACGCATGCCACCTTTGGCATTCATGTGAGGCAACAAAAGAAGGAACTGGATGCCCTCGAGAACTCGAGTAGTGGACCCCTGATAGTGGGTCGGGGCGAGCATAGTGCTGTCAGTGCGGTAAGTTTTTGCTATCGGAATATGTGTATAAATGTTAAAAGATTTTTAGAGTTTTGTACGAGTAAGTATAAGCAGGGATTACAATTACTAAGATGTTGCATGAGGCTGCTCAAGGCATTGTCGAAGCCGATAGACCAAAAAAAATTTTTCACGAAGCAACAAACGAAAATTTGAAATGGGAATTTCTTTCGAAAATGGCAATATCTTGGTATTTTATAGACTTTGGTATACGCGAGGGTAGAAATATCTCGCAGGGCACTTGTCATCTGAGAATTTATCCACTTAAAAAATTGAAACTACGACAACGCGTCAGACACGTCTCTTTTTCAGCATTCGCTTATGCGACTTTTTTATGGGTATCACCTTCGAAAACTGTCTTACAGTTGACAAACAGTTATTGTCTCTTAGTTATTGTTTTTTTTTTTATTGAAACCTTACGCATCTATGAAGTACAATGGGTTAGACTTATCGTTAGTTAATAATTAGTTTCTCGTATATGTTTTAGTATGGTTTAGCTTTGGTCTGGGTATAAAAATCTCCATTTTGTGGCTATATTTTTAGCAATTGCTCAGTCGTTTAAGGAGTATTGACGATGATTGTCGTTTGTTGAATCGATGCCGATTACTTCTTCTTTCGCTTGAGGACATCGCCCAGCCGTGGCGCCGTTGGTACACGCAAATGGCGACAGCGACGCATCATTAAGACGTCGTGCTTGAAGTAGCGCAGACAATGCCATTGGGGCACCTTCGGCATCAGTTGTTGGTGCTGCAAGGAAGAGATTTATATGAGTTGTGTAACAACAGAAAATGCACCACTAGAATTTTGTAATCTATTTTGAATATCTCTAACAGATGTTTTTTGTAATTATATGCTAGCAGAAAGGTTGTCAGAGTTTTTGGATCTACTTTTGGAACATCTCTATTCAAATATTTTACACTGTTGCCTACTTCTCTTCTTTGTTCTCCCCCACGGGGGCACCCTTTAATCTCTCTGTTATGGGATGATCTTTTGTGCCGGCTGGGCACTAAATTTGAATAATTTCCATTGAGATTTATAACGACATTTACCCTAAAGTGGATTTTATTTTTGGACGCGCCTTTCAATTGGTTTTTTGCTTAGAAATTTTTTTAAATCATGCGCAATAATCACTCAGCAGCCTAGCAACTGAATAATATGCGATTTATGCAGTCTCGTGCCTGAGATATTAAAGACACACGTGTAAACGATCATCTAATCCCTCCTAACCAATATTGTATCGAGTATTCTATTACTTGAATAATTATTTAATTATGATTATAATCATCAGAGAACTTTGCACTTTTTTGGGGGTATTCCTCAGTTTTATTTTTGTTCTTCTTTTTTCCAAAGAAATCCATCCGCCTGACAATCAATTGTTATATTTGTATAATTGTTAATCACTTTGTTTATTCTATCAAAGGTCAAGTCTGATCTTCAAAGACAGAGACAGAGAGACATTGATAAGGTTGATCCCCATACACGAAATTTTCGTAGAAACTGTTCTGTCTACTATACTTCTACAGATGTTGTCTACTTGATTCGCCCCAGCTATATATAGTTACACAGATTAACAACACACGACGTAAACGTGCTCAATGATTAAGTTATTATACCCTTTTGAAGAGGATGTTTACTTTTAAGCAGGATAAGCAGCACACACCTTAAAGGTGTTAGAGGGCTTTCGACTTTAGGAAGAAGAAATTTTCTTGAATTAGTAGCAACAAACGAGTCGCTTAAAGACATTCTGGTTGTTTCTATGCCAACTAAAAGTTGCCCAGTTTTCTATCAGTTATTGCTGGATTTGGAACCGCTCAGATCCGGATTGATGATTAAACGAGTACCATATAAATACGTACTTATTTTCAGATATTCTTGATATAAAAAAAAAACCCAATATATTCCACTACTTTTCTTAAAGGTCTGAAATCTCATATAGCTTAATGTTAATGCTTAAAGCTACCCTTTATTTCTTGTTTATTATGTCTCATGTTTTAATTAGAAAGCAATCTTTTAATTAAGGCTGCAGTTTATTTCTTGAGAAAATTTTCAACGCCCACTAGTCATTTGAGGGGGCTGCACTTCCGTACTTGCCGCGCATTGGGTTGCATTTCCCGCCCACTCCGTAGAATTTCAGTGAAGTCATTGCCCCAAAAAGATGCCCTCCTTTGCTCCTCCTAAACTTATGTCCCCTGTTGTGCTGAACTTGTTTTTCTTTCTCCTATTCTTCGAATTGGTGTCCTCTTTTATATATATTCCATCTTTTATATTGCACTTCTTTTGCTTTCTTTGCCATTCCCTAAATTGTACTGCTTTACTCCCTTATCTTTTTTCTTCTTCCCCATACATATGTCCTCTGCTGTGCTCCCCACAACTCCTTTGGCTCTCCCTTTCCCGCTCACTCACCTCATTCACAATTGGCACGGGTCCAGCATTGGCGATGGCGACGAGTGCAAGGCACAGCATGGAAATGACAGCAACAAAGTTGGGCCACATTTTCGACGCTTATTTTTGGGTGACTCTTCCTTCTCTGTTCTCTGGCTCTACTTCCCACTCCACCACTCACTCCCTCTCTTGGTGTAAATTGTTGTTTAATTGGATCGTAAATCGTTTAATAAGAATCGACGCGCTATTGTTGGTCAGCTGCTGCAGTTGATGAAAAGGACAAACAAGACTCTTGGGGGCGCTTGTGCTTTGAACTTTTTTTGTTTTCAATTTTATTTCCGTAAACTTTAGCGGCACGCGCTTCCGCTCTTTCTTGCACTTGCTCCGGCCTGCTTGTTGTTTGTGCGAAATAAAACGGTAAAGTGTAAATTTGTCGGCGAAGCACTTCGCCATTTATACTCGGCGGCAGCCGGCCACGGGCACGAGCACCAGGCCAGCCGCTTCGTGCGTGCTCCGCTCTCATAATTCTAACGGAACGAAAGCCGCGCTCGTGGCTCGTAAAGTTCGTTTTGTTATTGTTTGAGCGATGCGCTCGCTCTTTATTGCCCTGTTCCTTTCTCTTAAGCTACGGCTGCCGGTGGAGCTATTGTGAATGGGAAGTGCAGTGCAGGCGGGCAGTCAAGCCCCCCATTTGGACAGTGGAACAAATAGTTGATATTGTGCTCTAAGAACTTGAGGAACATTATTTAATTTATATTTATTATTTCTATTTACATATATTTATATGTACATATAGCATTATAGCAACTTAAATATGAAATATGTACATAGCTTCACTTGCAGTTTTCGCTGTAACCTGGATTTGTTGACCATTTACTTTTTGGGGAAATAAATATATAAAAACTCAGAAAATCACCCACTGTGCATTGAATGAAACTTTTCCTCTCTCTCTCTCTCTCCTTGCGCTCCCCGCTCCGACTTCGTTACTCAATTTGTTGTTTATGCGTAGGGCAGACAGCCCGGCATGGCCGTTGCGTGCTTTTGACACTTTACTTTTCTTTTCTGTATTTTACTGGCCAAAATATGTTTGTAATTAGGATCGCTCTATTGGACTGTGTGTATTTCCGCCAGTGTGTTGCTAGGTGTAATAATAGTTGCTTGTGCGAGGGGGCCTGGCACTTGCCGTAATTATAATTAGCCATTGTCATTATAATTCTAAGAGTTTATTCTAGTTTGAGTCGGTTCAAGCTTGCGGAAAGCTGGAAGTCAACTCAATTTGTGTACTCGGTTATCGCCGCCGATGACGATTCATGTATTGAGTCACAAATGATTGTTCGCTTCCTGTTGAGTTATTCTTTAATTAATTTTCTGAGGAAAACAACAAGATATTTTGCAATCGTGGCACTCAAACAATTACAATTGACATTCGGCCATTCGGTCACATGTTTGCACATCGATTGTTTGTTGTTTAAACAATTTTTGCATTAAAATGGAGCAACAATGGCAAAGTGGATGGCCAAGCGCATGCGCGAAGGTTAATAGACAATCCACTCGGGGGCTCGAGCAGTTTATGAATGCGTCGCACAAACCCCAGGCAATGACAGACGACAAACAAAAAAATACAAGAAGGAAATGTTTGTTTTCTGGTCGCAGAGTTAGATACCCTTTAAGTGATTCGATGCGAAATTCGAGTAAAAATATATTAAGTTCGATGGCATTATCATAAGAAAAGAGCTCTCCTACGACTGGTTGATCCCATTCCTGCTGTAAATCCGTAGATAGTTCCGCCTTAGCATTGCAAACATCAGCTCTAAATCATGTTACCCTCTTTTGAGGGGTACGATAATCATGTGATTAACATTGTCGAGCGAGGCTTAGGTCTTGTGTGTTGGGTGATGGGTGCTGGGTGCTGGGACTGGGACTACGACTGAACTTGAACCGCAATCTCGACACCCGAAAAAAACCGAAAAATAATAATAATAAACACACACCACTAACACACTTACACACTTTATTGTGAACTTCAGCAAGGTCAATGCCAATTAATGTTCATTTATCTATTACAGTTTGTCAATCTGTCCGCCCACACGATGCCCGCCATGAGCCTGATCTGCGGAGAGTTTGTCAAGTCGCTACTGATTCCGGCGGACTCGACCTCGCGGCTTACCGCTGCTGCAGCGGCTGCGGAGACTAACGGTAGCACCACCAATGGCAATGGACTGTCCCACGAGGACAGTGACGTAGAGGATGAGAACGATGGCCAGCAAGAGGCCACACTGGTGGTGCGAAAGGCATTGCTGGAGCGAAATGCAGAGCTGGAGGAGGAGCAGCAGCCCCTCAGCACGGATGTGGTGGATCAACAGGCCCTGGACCATCGGTTGAAGCTTATCACGGGCCTGAAAAAACAATTGAGGTTATCAATGTAGACACAATACCCAAGTAGTTGTTTTAAAAAAAAAATCCTATATATTTTTTTCTATATTTTGTATAAGACATTGAGCTTTAGAGCAAAACAATTATTGATATAATACAAAAGTCATTTGTGCACAATGGAATTTTTTGTTTTCTTTTTTTTAGGGTTATTTTCAGGTCGTTTGTGAGGATTTTTGAAAAATAATTGCTTGCTATTCCATGTGTAACATATAACTCTGTCAAGTCTCTGCCCCTAAAGCGACACGGGACGCCATGACAGTTATATTAGATCTATCTATCAAATCTGCTCTTAAAAAATCGCTAAAATACAAAAGAAACTTACAAAAAATCTCTGTAAGAATTTAAGCTATTAACGTGGAACATTAAACACACCATTAAATTCTACAAATTTTGGATCCATTTTGTTCCTAAACTAATGACTGCGATTTTTATTTTCATATTGGTGTACATAACATAATTTGATAGATGCAAAATATTTAAAAGAAACGCCGGCGTGGTATCAGACCGGCATGGGATAACACATTATATATTTCCATACGTGGAATTTTCTCAGCCTGACGATCATAGACCTGAAAGAAATAAAAGTATATACATTTATGAAATAAATACTGCATAATGGTTTTTTTGCAGTTGATGAAACATACCACCTCTTCGCCAGGCCCAAACCAACTGGATCTGGCCAAAGCATCCCTGACCCTGGGTGTCTTGTAGAAGGGATTCTGGAACTGTTGTGGCAGGGTCTGCTCCCAGGCGGCATTCTCCACTACGGCAATGTGCTGGAGATCCCGCTGAGGTTGGGGACGTGCCTCGATCAGCATTGAGTAACCCACGTAGACAATGGCCACCGACCAGATGAGTCGACGGGGCAGGCACCTTAAGCAAGGGGGAGAAGAAGACTTGAGTTGTGTTGAGATCACAATGCTATTTCCACTTGCTCGACTTAAATTATTATTATGATGATCATTACATAATTGTGGCGTGCATATAATATTACAAGTTTCCGCCTGTCACGCACTCACACACACACACACACACACACAGGCACACGCATGTTCCCCCAAGAGCTCTCCCAAGTCCCCAGTCCAGTCCACGCCTAAATGACCGGCTTTTCACAGATCTCCCCAGTACCAGTACCAGGCCCATGTATCGGGACAACTTGTTGGCCAAGTCAGCTGACTGTTGGCTTCGACTTCGACTCCGTCTGTGGCAGTTTCTATTTCTCTCTGTTGCAGTTGCAGTTGGGTTGTCATGTGGCCAGTCATTTCCTAGATGTCGCGTGCTGCGTGTAGGAAAAAAATCTCTGCTTTTGCCAATCGTCATTCGGTGGCTAGTTGGTACTTTCGTTCGTCCCAGTTTGGTCGCAAAAAGATCCCTGATCTTTGCTTTTAATTGGATAACCGGCAGTGACGCCGCAGCCACATGCCTCTTGCTGCAGCGCTTGCCCCTCGGTGATGTAAGTTTTGGACTTGATATTGCCACTGGCAGCACTGGCATTTTCAATGTGTGTGTGTTTCTGGCCGCCCTTTGCTTTTGGCCAAGTCATGATTTGTTGCCGTTGTGGCTGATCATCATCAGCCACTTTAGAGCCAAAGGCTTTGCTGGACTTTTACGATTTCCATACTCGTACGAAACGGGGAAAATTGTATGATGCAAGAGCATGCAAATCACTTGAATTACAATGCTACGATACGACTATACATAAGATACTCGAGCATCTGTAACTGATCTGTATTTTAACAGTCTCATGGGGGAACTAGGCATGTATGGCTGTGGAACCATTTACTTTAAATGTTTTAGAGAATGAAAATTATTCACATCCTAACAATCTATTTCGACAGAACTAGGAACGAAAACTGTGATATATGTACATATATTCTAAGACTATCTACTAGATGTAAGTTACCCAATTCTAGACAGACTCTTAATTTAACCAAAGGGAAGAGCATTCATAATTATCCATTTTATCCCTATTCATATAAGGACTTCCTTTAAGAATTATTTATTAACAATTAATACTAGTAATACTGATAAAATCGGATTTAAATATTTATTATTATTATACTTGCTTGAAAATACGAATGTCAGGCAAAAGTATTTCTCTTTGAGGATATGTCTATGTGTTAAAAGAATCTGAAGAAACCATTTCATTCCATTTAATATCTAAACGATTCTAGGGCGATGGTTTTCCCATACATTTGTGCAGAAAATAATGAACTATAATATCCCAAGAGATCTCATAATTTAAATAGCACTGAAACAGAAACAAGATCACAACCTTGAGCTCTACGATTAAATCTTCAGCCACCTTTTCTCTCAACCCACGACCTCAAAATCATCTCCCTGCCTTATGCACAATCCAGTTCACTGACCCCCCCCACCAACCATTTTTGTCTTCTTGGTCACACCCAACTGATGTCCCATGACTTGGGCGGGTTGCATTTCGCTTTCGGTTACCAACCCGACCATCGGACGGACCTCAAAACGTCTTATGTAATTCTGCCGTTTTGCGCATGCGCAAAAGACGCCAGCGAAACACTCTCCTCCACAACCTCCCCAAAAATGTGCTGGTATTTTCAGGTTTTCATGCTTATTTTGTGTACGCCACTCAATTGTTGTTGTGGTTGTTGTTACTGGGCACAGAGACTGGGATTGGGACTGGGACTGGGACGGGGACAACTACTTACTTACTTACATACTGCTACTACGCTTTGTGGTTGTCTCTGTCCCATACCATCCCGTCTCAGTCTCCTTCACCCATCACCCGTCATACCGTCTCCGTGTCTGTGTCTGATTAGGTCAATGGAATCCAATTGGCGTCAGTGTCCGAGAGTCGGTTGCAGTTTTCGCTTTTTTACATACTCGTATGTATGTAGTCGACTCTTCATTCCATTCCATTCCAACATTCCAAATTTGGGTCATGTGGTTAATTGACAAAGATTGACGTATTGTTAGTATTGTTATTCTACAGAGTCCACAAATTTGTTTATATTTTGCATACAATGAGGAAATATATTTACGCATCTGTTACAATTTTCATTCTTACAAAACGGTAGCGGGTAATCGGATAGGGGATTGCAAAATGGGAAATCGGAAGAGTACAAATTGTGTAGATTGTGTAGGAAAAGTACTGACTGTGGGTCAGCGAAAGGAATGTTCTCAGTTTCTAGTGCAGGTCTACATATCTGTACAAATTGGTAGAGATATTTGAACCAATTTTCAAGCTTGAAGGGAATGGGATGGGATATTGGGAATGGGGATTTGGAACCATTAAAATGAGAACGATGAGAACGGGTGGCGTAATGCGTAATGGAAAATAGGAACCGTTAAAATGAGCTTGAGTTCGTACTGTACTGTAGCTATGGAATGGAATGGAATGGTGCCATTTTTGATCCAATTTGTATTTATCAAAACAGAAGCACTTACGAAGACGCTGAGTATTGAACTCAGAATCGTAATCGTACAAGTAAGGTTTTGTCGTGTAGAGCTACCGTGATGACAGATCAGATATAGTAGTAGTGAGAGGGGAACCTTGATGTGAAACTTGAGCCAAAAAAAGACCCCGTCTGCACTCAACATTCGCTCATTACACGTTTTAGCCGGCGACTGAGGCAGGTGATCGTTAAGTTTTGAAAGTGTGAAACTCTTTAAACCGTTTCAAGGTTGTGGCAGTTGAAGATGTTTTTTTGCTGTTACCGCTGCTTGTTTTATGCACATCTCATTTCCCCATGAAATTTTTAATTAAAAGTCGTGTAATATATGTTCTTCTTTAATATATGTTTTAGGCGAGGCCCAAAAAATGTGATGAAAGCGTAATTAAAAGTGTTTTTTAAGTAGATAATGTAATTAGTTAATGATTTTATTTAGTTGGGTGCAAAACTATATTTTATGAGAAGCAGCCTATGTAATATCCTCTTATTTATTTCACTTTCATGAATAAATTGCATTTTAATTTAAAAATTAGTATTCCGAAAAGTACAATTAAAAGTTGCATCATTATTTTTTCACTTTCAATTGACTTGAATCAAAAAACTGTGTCAACTTATTTAGTCCACGGGGCACGATCGATCGGTTAACTGCCTCCCTGACACCACGCCCCCCACTCAACACTTTATGGTCAATATTGATGGGCAATCGTTGTGGATAATATTTATTAGCCAAATGGCGTAACGGGGCAGGGCAGCGCCGCTGCTTTTGGACATTTGTTTTGGCCTCTTTTGTTGGCATTTTTGTGTCTTCACATCGTTTAATTGAAAACGCTGTGTGCCATGACAATGGTAATAATTTTTTTCGGTTATTGCATTAATATTATTATAATTTTTTTTGGGAAATTTATTGTTGCTTTTGTTGTGGTTTCAGTTTCGGTATTTTTTCCTTCTTTTTTTTGCGTCTTTGGCAAGAAAACGTGACCGTTAAACGAAATTATCTGTCAAGTGCAGCATTTTTTCAGTTTGAATATTTTTTTTGTCGTATTTTATGGTTTTTGGTTTAACTCTTTTTGTCAGTCAATGTTGTCGACTTTTTTGTTGTTGTTGTAGTTTTGTGATAGGTCAAAATTGTTTATGGGGTTTTTTGTTTTGCATTGGATTTTTGTTGTCGCACATTTTTTGTAGGTCTTTGGGTGGCCCCCGGAACGAATTATTGAGTTTTTTCGGTTTATAAATTATGATCTGCTGATGGGATCATCGACTTAGTGTATATTGAATGATTGTGAAAATGTTTTTGCATAACGTACTTGCAGATCTTCCCAGAAGATTTTCAGTACTACCGACCTACACTTAGTACATGAAATTATCAAAATGTCAAATATATTCTTGTTCGATTTTTTGAAGTTTTTTGAAGGAATTTTAAAGTTATCAAATCTGAGGAAAATATTCCAAAAATGTCTTATTATTATGCAAGCTTTTTTATTATTAATTTTTATTCGTTATTTTCGTATTTTTTGAGGTCAAATTAAATTTATTTATTTTATAATTTTCAAAAATTAATTCGGTCTAAATTTTATTTGCTGTTGATTTAAGAAAAATGTTATTTTTTCTATACAAATTTTTGCCTCAGATTGATTTTGAAGAATTTTTGAGGTAGAAAACTATAAGCAAAGTGGTATATTACTCTTATTTTTATTAGACATTTTTTATAATTTTTATTTATTAGAATTTCAAAGGATTTCTTTATTTAAACTCTTTATGATTTTTTGTTTTGTTCTAAGTTTCTTGATGCATTATTTTATTAAATTTTAGACTTAAGAGATTTTTTGAAATTTAATAACATTTTTAATAAATAAATTACACAGCTTCAGCAATTTAATACATTTTTTTATTTATTAACACCAGAAATCGACCATTTGGGTTATCTATTAAGCCTTCACACATTGAATTATTTATCTTGTTAAGTAATTATTTTTTTAAGACTATTTTACACGCTCTTCACCAAACTCACATTTTCTATAGGCTTATGACTTGATTTTGAAAAGTTTGCAAAACTATTTAAACGCTTTATTTAAGCATTAAGAGAGAGCCCGCAACAGCAGTTGTTGAAATGAACGCGGCCAATTGGCAACTGAACTGAAGTTTGCCGCCAGAAAGCCACGAACTACGACTGCTACTGGGACTGCTACTGGGACTGGTACTGGGACTGGCCGAAAGCCGATGATCGGTTTGTTGGCTTGGCGGGTTTTTGGACACTGCTCGAAACCCTCACCGAACACAAAAAAAAGAGGAGCTAAATGAAAACGAAAACTCAACGAAGCATGGACTAAAAAGCTGAGCAACGTTTGGAGTTTCTATATAATTTTCTAAGATAACTACTAACTTTAATTTCTTTCTTTCAATACAAAATTATCGACAAAATCTTCAATCATGTCTGTCATGCGCGTTCTGTACAGCTCATCCGTGTCGAAGGCCTCCTTGCAGATCTCTATGCGACGATGGCTGAAGAAGTCATTGAAACCATCCGCAGAGCCGGTCAACTTTAGTGTAGAGGATGGCGGCAGCAGCACCAAATGACAGAAGAGACAGCTCTCGATGAGGCCCACACTGCGGAACTCCTTCACGGATTGATAGAAGGAATCCTCGGGTATAAAGCGTGCTATATCCAGGCCAGCTCGCTTGAGAAACTCGCTCATGAAGCGATAGTACTCCGCCAAGAGTTCATCGAGATGTGCGGCCCGAAATTGGCTAGTGGTTGGTATGGTAAGGACGGTGATCACATCCAGTGCGGGTGGAGCATATCGGGCCAGCTGGAAGTCCACGAGGCGACAGTGCAGTGGCGTCTCTCCATACTTGCCATACTGGAACATAATGTTGTTCGCCCAGAGATCGCCATGGGACAGGGTATTCTGATATTTATCGGACGTCTTGATTGCCTCGAAAATGTACGACATTCGATCGGTGAAGTTCTCCAAAATGTAGTCGATCTTTGACTGATATTTGGGCATCTCCTTGATGAGTTTCTTAAACACCGAACAGCCATTGTTGAAGTTTACCATCCGCAGATGATCTGGCTCCTTATTGCTGGGATATGCGTTCTCAACCACGGCAAGGGGCTGCGATTGGGTGAGCCTCTTGCCCGAACGCTGCTCCTGGATGATGGCACCCGCATGCATGGCGGCCAGGGTCTTCAGGCAGCAGTGGAGCTGCTCATAGCTCAGCAGGCCATCGCGTCCGGTGCCCATGCGGTAGCCCTGATCCACTAAGTTCTCGAAAACCAGCAGATTCTTATCGGCATAGTAGCATTTGGGTGCCACCTGAGCGCAGGCTGCCTCCACTTCGGGCAGGACACTCTTATACATGGCAATCTCCTTTTGGAACACACCGAAATCCTCGAGGTACTGCATTCGCGAGGCATTGCCCTCGGGTGCAGCCTTCGCAAAGAATCGGAGCTTCAATTCCTCTCCATCGTGCAGCTGTACGGTGACCTGAAGATAGAAGTGACTGCCCAGATATCCGGCTGGTGCCTCCGATGTGGGTTTCAGCTGATAGCTGACTATATCGAATCCGGTATGGGAGCTGCAATCATCTTGATGGAGGAACCGCTGGCACAGGCCGCGTATCTCGCTGGAACTCAACTCCAGTGCCGTCGCCATGTCGATGTCAACTGTTTGGAGATCTGCCCGTGGGTACAACGTTTTATATTCCTCCCACAATTTGCGACTTTCTCTAGACAGTTGTAAATTCTGTTAAGATAAGCGCCACGGGAAGACTGTTCATCCTAATGGGGGATATGCTTAAAAGGCGTTAGCAGAAATTCCATTTACTTTATTTGCTCTTGGCCTTGACTATACATATATGAATTAAGGGCAATTAAGGGCCACACACTGGTGGTGTGCTCCCTGATGTCAGCCTAAAAGTGTTCAGACAGGAAAACTAAACTAAAACACACGCAACTGACTTCACTTTATACACTAATTTTTAGGTATTTTTCAGTAATTTATTCTTTATTGATATATTGCAACTATACCAGAACTTCCTTGTTTAGCATACACTCAAAGGAAAATGGTTTAGTAAAAACAAATACACCCATATTTAAATTAAATATTAGGTTTTAAAATACAAAAACTAGGAAAATAAATATTATTCACTTTGATTTAAACATAAATGTTTTAAAAAAGTCTTTTTAAGAAAACTTTGAATAGTTTATTCCAATGGGGAAATTGTAAAAAAAATTTTAATAATAATATATATTTGATTACAAAAAATTTCATATTTAAATTAAATATTATGATTTAAACTTCAAACGTTGGTAAATTAATTAATATTTACTTTGATTTAAACATAAATGTTTTAAAAAAGTCTTTTTAAGAAAACTTTATAATAAGTTTAAATAGTTTATTAAATTTGTTATTTTTGATATATGAAATTTTTTGTAATCAAATATTTTTATATTAATGTTTTCTTACAATTTTAAATTTAAATTTAAATGTAAATATTACAATTTCAGTGATTTTTTCATTGGGATGCATGCACACAATTTTCTAAAAGATTAAAACATTTACGTACACACAAAAACTCACCTTAGCCAGTTGGCCACTAATTGTTTAAAGTGGGGCTTGGATTTATAATGTAGAAGATAGAGGAGACATTGCCTATAAACCAGGTGGAAGCGTGCTTATCATTAACCTACGACGAGTTAAGCCATTGTTGATGTGAGGCAAACAAATTGTGCCACTCAAAACGCCGGCCAAAACTTTAATCTTGGATAAATGTGCGTGTGACCGGAGCTGGGAAAACGAACAGCTGACAGATACCTAATCGAGTTGGATAAATCGAATGAACGGAGAGTCATTAGCAAGGGTTCCGTGCCGCTTCAGTTACAGGTTCAGTTACAATCACTTTCGGATTAGAGTTCGTGGAGAAAGCTACCGCCATGAGATTCAGTCGAAGTATAGAGGAATATCTGTCGAATTCCACCTTGCATGGCGCCCGATTCATAGTGGACAAGGATGCCAGTTGGCTGGAGCGCATCTTCTGGGTCATTTGCCTGGTGGTCTCCTGGTATGCCTCCTGGCTGCTTATCAAGGCGTCGCTGAGTGAGTCGTCGCATGCGACACAGATAAGACGATTGGATGGTTTACGAGCGGGTTTTGTGGATACCTTTCAGGTGCCTTTGAGAATAATGCCATTAGCTTTGTGGTGGAGAGCTCGTTTCGCGATTGGAATACAAATTTTCCGGCCATCATAGTGTGTGAATCGAAGAATATGGATCGCATACAGGAAGTGGCTGAGCAGTAAGTAGAAACTCTATCAGAGAAGTGCCTTCAGGGTCCGTCACCTTTCAGACTCTGGGGAGCCGATCATGACTTTACCTTGGAGGAGGTGCTCAGTGAGATTGCCTTCTTCCGCGGTGAGTCCTATCACACGGTCCACGAGTGCAGTGGCGAGGAGTCCACAGCCTCTTGTTTCTACTCGAACTTCTCCTACTACGCGGAACTGGTGAGGAGCAGCTGTGTGGACTCCATCAGCAATTGCCAGTGGAACAACAAGCCCTTTGAGTGCTGCAAGTACTTCCAGCGCATGGAAACGGAGCTGGGCATATGCTATGCCATCAATTCCCTGCAAGCGGGGTGAGAGATCCATAAATATAATTCCTTTGAGTGGCATTTTCTCACAAAAGATGTATCATTGCAGAAAGAATAAAGGCCCCAAGCTGAATATGTATTCGAATCGTTATACTGGACCTGGAGCACTCACAATGGAATTGCACACAGAGGCTACAGTGAGTTCTATAATCTTTATGAAAGTTCATAGCACTTGGATCGTAAAGATTAGTTCATTATTACGAAAGACTTATTTCCTCAGAAGTACCTAAAAGTCGGCTGATTTTATTTTTAAGAAATATTCTTCCTAAATTCAATGGTTAAAGAATTTTAAAGCAAAAACTTTGGGGCATAGAAATTAATTGAAAACCTTTCTACCATCTCTTTGAACAGGTCTTCATACTGGGCACCGAAGAAGTTCCCACTTTGGTTACACCCAAAACGGATTTCCTAGTCGTGGGTCCCTATATATCATTCATGTAAGCAACGCTTAAGATCCTTAGATGTTAGTTCACACCAAAATCGGCATTTACAGACGCTACATCTCGAAGCGTGACATTGAAAACGATGAGGAAATCCGTCAGACGAGCGTCCATCAGCGTAATTGCCGCTTTGCCGATGAGAATATTCTGGGTGTCCACAATTACTATAGCTATAGTGCCTGCACGGTTCAGTGTCGCAAGGATCGGCAGATGGAGTTGTGCAACTGCTCCAGTCACCTGTCTCCTAACTCGCCCGACTGGCAGCTCTGCAATATGGACGGCCTGGAGTGCCTCAACAGGAACTATGAGGATCTATCGGTGATCATTGCCAAGTGGTCGAAGCGCCGCGGTCGCAAGGGTCTGGTGTGCGACTGTCTGCCCTCCTGCACGGAGGTGGATATATCGACAGTGTTTGACAGCAAGGATAATATGGTGGGACAGCAGAATCCTGTCTCCCGCATTGAGGTGGGTCTCATAGAGCTGCCCACGGAGCGTTACAAGAGGAATTTGGTGCGTGGCAAACTGGATTTGGTGGGTGAGTGGGTCTCTCAGAAAACTTCTTAGGCTTTATGATTAACCTGAGCCTATTCCAGTGTCCATTGGAGGTACTACGGGTCTATTTGTGGGCGCCAGTCTCCTTAGCTTCGTGGAGATCTTCTACTACATGACAATTCGTCCTTATTCGACCTTCATGGATTCTCGTTTGAATCGGTTTGACTAAGAATGGATTACCTTATCATATCCCCATACTTACGATTTGCAATTTATCCCCAATATCTTTTTTAATAAATAAAAAACGAGAAATTTTTTTTTTCACTCGACACTTGAAAAGAAAATTGTTTGACCTTTAATAGGATTTTATTTTCGTTTCGATAGAATGGATACTGAATGAAGATTTTTTAAGTTTTAGCCAACTTAGCCATTTATTTAAGTTTTTTATTTTTTCTGTATGCTTTTTTTTACTTTAGTTCTTTACCAATTTTAAGGTGCAGATTCCATTGTATCGACACGATTTTATGGATTTTCGTAGATGCTCAGCCCCGAGGGCTGCATTAGGGCATGGGACTTCTGCAGCATCAGCTGATCCGATCATCTGATGGAATTCTATGCATGAAGTATGTTTGTTTGTCCTTTGCAACGTTCATTCCCAATTTTCATTTTCGCATTAATCACTTCTACAATATTAATCACTTCTATGTTTTTTTTGTTAAATATGATTAGTATTAATATATATTCATCAATATCAATATATTCATCTGAACATATCATTTGTGGGATGTTTCCATTGTGGTTTTTTCATTGGAAAATCATTGTTGAAGGCTAAGGATATTTGATTTGTGGATTTGTCGTATAGAGAAGCATCGATGAATAAAAATGTTGAGACATTTATTTGCAGATGAAAAAATGGATGTGTAGAAGGTAATTTTTAAAGTGATAGACAGCTGAAATGTGAATATGTTTGCTTTCTACTTGCTCACTTTCTGCACATTCATCTCTAAGTTCAGCTAGTGCTCCCCAGTGCAACAGCTAACGCACCCACTCGCCTCTATATCTTATCAAAAAGATCTACTATAAATGGTACACAATGCAAATGCACCGCCAACATTTGTGCATATTGAAAATTCTAGCCAAAAATAAATAAAAACTGAGTAGAATTCTATTTTCGCTCAGTTGCTTACGACCGGCAGATGCAGCTACATTCGGCTGAGTGAAAATTCTCGGAAAAGTGTGCTCGAATGAAACGCTAGCGAAAGCCCATACAGAGAGCCAGAGAGAGTGAGAGAGAGAGGAAGATCCAACGTATACGTAATACGAACTTACGTATACGCAATATGCTGCTCAGCCGCCAAGAATGTGTGAAAATATTGGATAATCTGACAAATGGCGAGAGCAAGCTGTTGGACTATCAGGTGGTTCGAGATGACACTGCAATCGGTTATCTGGGGGATTACTATGCACTGACTATACGCTACTGCCACGTGAGTATCCGTATCTGTATCTCCAAGAGACATTGTTGCCTCTGGCAGGCATTGCAAAATGATACAAAGTTTGTATCCATAAAACGATAGTAAAAGATTAGTAATTATTTGTGGTAATCGTAATTAAATAGCAAAATATCGGAATAGGAAAAAACTAACATTTTTTTAAAGAATTGAAAAAAGATATTCGTAGTTCCGACCAAGTTACCTGCAGCAGGAGAATCTCGCCAGAAGAAACGATATTTGTTCATTGTATTTACTATGTTCTTCTTTTTTTTAAATTCTGCTGAGTATTGTGTCGCCTAGCGGCAACACCACATAGCGGAGATCCTTGGGCTCAAGGGCTATATATCTCTATATCTCTATCTCTACATATCCCTATATCATACCTGATATATAGTAAATATTAGCGAAAACATCTACCTTCATTTGATAATGAATCTTCATGTAGAATAAAATGTGTATTGTACACGTAAGCTACACAGCATGACATTCTACATACATGTGTACTTCAAATTTACATTCCAGTGCATACTTTTGTGCGTATGTTTTTGGCACCTGGTAACTTTTTGTACTAACGATAGGCAGGCATTATTAATTAAACTATAGACCTGTGATTGTTGGAACTGTGCGAGCTGCATGTGCTGCAGTTCGCATCCATTATGATGCCAAACGGTTGTTTATTTCAGGCTGAACGGGAGGAAATCATCCGGAAAACGCAGCTTTTCATCAAAACTCTACCCCAACAAAGCGCTGAAGTGGCCAAGGAGGCTATCTTTCGCAAAGAGACATGGTTCTACGAAACGCTGCTGGCTAAAATGCAAAAGTACTGTGAGTAAATCAAAAACTAAACCTAAAGCATTGTAATATGACTAGCCTGCCCCTTAGCCAAGCTCAAATGGAGTCCCATTTGTTATTACACGCGACCCGATCTACTGGTGCTCGAGGACATCAAACTCATTGGATATCGGGCAGTGGAGGCCTCGCAACTGAACGAGAATCGCCTGCATCAGCTGATGCGTTCCGTGGCCGCCTTTCATGCCGCTAGTCTGATCTACGAGCATCAGACTAAAGTGAATATTGGCGAAGCCTATGGCGATCAATTGCTGGAGGTGACAGTGGCCTCGGAGATAGCCTGGTTTACGACCGGACTCTCCGCGGTGCTGGCTGCCGTGCGAAGTCTTCCCCAGTATCAGGGCGACAGAGAACTCAACTTCATTGACAACCAACTGCTGGCGATAATGGAAGGCATCTATGAGCAGGCGGAGCCCTCCACCAGGTACAGGAATGTGCTCTGTCATCGCGATCTGTGGGTTGGCAACACCTTCTATCCCCGCGAAGAAGAATCCGGGGCAGCTCTCCTGGTAGACTTTCAGACCTGTCGTTACACTCCACCTGCCCAAGATCTTAGCTACAGTTTGTACATGAATCTGACATCAGCGTATCGCAGGGAAATGGAAAAGATCTGCATCGATGTGTACTACGATTATTTGTTGGCGAATCTCTCAGAGTTTGGCCTCAGGGCAGAGCTACTTCTGTCCAAAGCAGAGCTCCTGGAATCCTTTGAGGAGTTTCGTTTATTTGGGATTGTCTATCGCGCTGTGGCTGCCACCATAATCAAGGTGCCAGCCTCCTTCGTGACCAATGACTTCAAGTATGTGGATCGCAGTGGAGTGATCTTGGATTACATGCAAACCAATCAAGAGTTCAGGTCCTACATGGAGGAGTGCTGTGTGGATGTCATGAACCTGGCCTTGGCCAGGGCAGACATGTGAGAGGGAGTCTCTGATAAGTAAGAGTTCTGTGGGCTGTGCAGGCAGGCGATAAGAAATGATTGTACCTATCAGCAAAGCGAAAAATATACCAAGATCGAGAGGGGAAATACTCTTACAGAATGGGAATGCTGATATAGATCTGCGCATAAGACAATGTAAATTTCTAGATTCTAATGTTGAGGTTATCTTGCGGAATGCATTGTATTATCAGAGATCTGAAAGGTACTCCCTTCGAAACGCAAGTCATCTATGAAACGATCTATGCCCCCACTTTATAGAGTATCTTCTTCAATATAAACTCTGCAACACAATCGAAATCAAATCAGTTTGGGATCAAATCGCGTGGCGAGCATTACCGATCGTTGGGAAATCTATATACTCGCGTTGTTATTGCCACATGATGAGTAAAGACGACTACACGCCGGTACTCACGCGACAAAATCGCTTGGAACTGTTTACGTTGGAGGAGTGCCGAGAGATTTTGGTGAATTTATTGGCCGATAAGCAGCAGCTTGGGGTCCTAAAACATTTTGAAATAGTGCCAGCCACAGAAAATGTTGGCTTCCTCGGAGAATATTATCATTTGCTTCTCAACTACCAGCTGGCAGACGAGGAGGAAGATCAGACCACACGACTGTTTGTCAAGTCGGTGATCTTTCAAAATGCCGACATGGAATTCTATATGGAGAAGATGGGTCTGATCAAAAAGGAGATCAAGCTCTATGAGCTGCTGCTCAATGAGCTCAAAAAGTTCTGTAAGTTCTGTCCACCGTCTACAAAAATACAAAAGTGAAATATTTGGAGTGGAATTTTGCAGCTCCCCATGTGTGGTGCGCCAAATGCTATTTCACCCGCAATGATCTCTTTGTGATGCAGAATGTCGAGGATATGGGATATGTGGCCCTGCCCTCGGGCACTCGGTTCCTCAGCGAGGATCAGCTGGGTCCCATCTTGAAGACTTTGGCCACCCTTCATGCGAGTAGTGTGGCCTATGAGCGACAGCAGGGAAAAACGATCGGCGTTCAGCTGAGGAAGTGGCTCAAAGAAGTGTCCGTCGGCCCGGACATTGAATGGTATACCACGGGTCTAAAGGTAAGCATGTGTCCCAGCGATATTCCTTCCACAACTGACCCTAAACCTCTTCTCTAGGCCGTTCTGGCGGTGGCTGCCATTCATCCCGATGTCCGCCATAATGCCCGGGCCCAGGAGTAATTCTCAAAAGAACTGCCACGCCGCTTGGACAGCGTCTATTATATGGTTAATCCCTCGCCAGTCCACAGGAATGTCTTCGTTCATCGGGATCCCTGGGGTGCCAATGTCTTCTATCACAAGGATCGCCCGCTGGAGGAGCGCTCTATCCTGGTGGACTTCCAGTTGTGTCGCTATGCCGCGCCTGCCACGGACTTCCATTTGGTCAGCTATCTCAATCTAGAGCCAGCCAATCGCAGGGAAATGATTGGTCGCTTGGAAAACCTGTACTACGAAACTCTGTCCGGGGAGCTCAAGACAATGGGCATCGATGCCAGTGAAGAGCAGCTGAGTCGCGCGGAGTTTGAACAATCTCTCGAGGATTTTGCCCTATTTGGTGCGACTTACAACTGCTTGGCAGCCACCATAATCCGCCTGCCCGAAAACTATCTGAAGAGCCTCAAGGGTGAGCGACCGGCGGACTTTCATCGCTTCTGCAATGTCGATCGTACACCAGACATTCTCCAGTTGATGAACGATCATCAAGACTTTGCCGATTACATGTACGAGTGTGTGGGGGATTTGCTGGCACTGACATATCATAAGCGTAACTGATTAAATGAAATTGTCTCGCTATCTTGCTGCTGTTCACCTGGTAACGCTAGGGGTCGTATCAGTACGGGGTGGCACTGAACTCTCTCGCTGCCTCTCTCTGAGAGATTATCTTATCGCTGAAAATTGTACTTGGTGGTTTGTTCTCCATGTTTTGGGGTATATGCATTTGGTGTTGCATTTGGCATGGGATGGAAAATGACACTGGCTGAGACATTTATAAAGAAAGACTCTGTGTATAGTTTTAGGCGATGTAAATGTTATTTTTGTCTGTTGAAAACCAGCATCTAACTATTCTTTGAAGGCATTGGGGCACATAAATTGTTCCACACTCAGTTTAAACAAACACTCTGCAGTATCCAAGTGTATTATCTAGGGTTAATTATCTAGTATGATAAGAAAGAGACGCCCAAAAAAGAGATAGCGCTTCCAATCTCAGAATTGTTGTTTCTTCTTAGAGCATTTTCTACTCATTCTAATTTCGGAAGCCAAACAGTCCATTACCTTAGTCCCCATGGATCTACTCAGCCCCGAAGAATGTTTGCTCGTTGCACAAAAGACCCTGAAGGAAAAGGAAAAAGCAAACCTCTTGCTCTTGGACTGCCAGCTAGAGGCGGGCTCCTGTGATCTTGTTGGTTACATGGGCGAGTACTACAAATTGAGATTGATAGTGGAGGACATTGCAGATAAAGAGAAACACGAACTGGATTATTTTATCAAGAGTTTGCCGCGCAAAAATGAGCCACAACGTGCCGAGTGCGAGCGCAAGGGAGTGTTTCGCAAGGAATCAGCCATATACACAAAAATACTACCGAATGTACAAAAATATGGTGAGAATATTATAGAAATATATTTAAAGCGAATGTAAGCCTCAGGATTGTTTTGTTCTAGCCACAAAGAAACTGTTTCCACAGTGCTTCTACAGCCGCAATGACCTCATAGTGCTGGAGGATCTCACGCAGGAATATCGACATCTCAAGGCCTCAGAGAGCTATACCCTGGAGCACTACAAGCTGGTGCTCGAACATTTGGCGGAGCTACATGCGGCCAGCATAGCCTGGGAGGAAAAGGAGCAGTTCAACATTGGAGAGCGCTACAAGGATGTGCTGACTGAGCTGCACTTGAGCACGGAGAACTCCTGGTTCATGACTGGACTCAAAGTAAGCATTCTGCACATCATTTAAGGGTAGTTTCTGTCTAAATTTATTCCTCAGGCAATTGTCTTTCTGGCTGCCAGACATCCCCAATATCAAGCGGAGAAACATCAGAGTTTCATCAACAACAAACTCTACAATCTACTGACCAAAGCAGAGCAACTGGTGACCCCCTCTCTGACCATAAGGAATGTGCTGTGCCATCGGGATACCTGGGATCGAAATATCTTCTTTCGGTTCGGCAGTGATCGTTATTCCGCTCTGCCCAGTGCCTGTTGTATCGTGGACTTTCAGCTATCGAAATACTGTTCACCCACTCTCGATGTCCTCTTTCTGCTGTACATTGTGGCCCCGGCGAGTGTGCGGCAGGAGATCTACGACGAGTGCCTGGACCACTATCACATAGCGCTGCAGTCCCACTTGACCCGTCTGGGGTTGGATGAGGAGCTCATTTCGCGGGAAAACTTCCTAAGGGAATGCCAACGCACTCGTCTGGCTGCTCTAATCATCTGGGCCCTCACCGAACCCCAGACCAAGATGTCGGCCAGCATTTCGAATCGACTACGTTCCGAGGAGCCCGAAAAGTTTGACTATTACCTCAACACCGATCGCAGTGAGATGCTGCTGCGGGTGATGCAGCTCCAGCCCGGCTACGAGCAGACTATAATGTCACCCATCCAGGAACTGGTGGACTATCTCATGGAAAATGAACACTTGTATGCCTAGACAATTATCTCTTATCGTACTCTGAACTTGAGATAATAAAGTGTCTTTCTGCTTGAGATTTATCATACTTTTAGTGCTCTTAACTAGCGATAAATGTTTATTAAACGAGAAGGAACGTGTGAGTCGCTTCTGGGGACGCGACTCTACTTATACCCGTACTCAGTCAGTACATACATTTTTGAGCTTACGATTTTTTAGAATTTTAGAATTAAAAAAAAATTTTACAATTAAATTATTTTGCTACATCTGTTATCTACATCTACATCAACATCTGCTATGTATATCCTATATCTAACATGTAGATTATACATCTCCTCCGCTAGGGGTTGCTCGCGCACTGAACGCGGCAGAGTGTGCGAGATATAATATATATACTCTTAACTCCTTAACTCTATTTTGAGTACGGGTATAAAAACGCATTATCGTAGAGAATGACCATATCTGCCAGATTGTCGAATCTGAATCAGATCGGATCATAATTATAGCCAGAATGAAGAAATTAATTTTCTGCTGGTTCTTCCGGCCCCTCCTGCCAGAGACCCGCTACCTATATTTTCTTTGCCGGATGCACGGGTTTGTGGCTTTGTCAATTTTAGTCTCTCGCTCTATGAACCACAGGACATACATAAATCTTTTCTGTCTAAGCATTATTTCTGGAATTCTATAAGGAATATATTGAATACTTTTTCGCTGAGTTGCAGGCAAGCCTTCGAATACTAGGCATGCCCTAGGAGAGGTTTGGCTTTTGGCTGCTCTGATCATCTGTGGCCTTGTTTAAATCCACCAGAGTTTGGCCAATAACACTACTTGACAAAATAGAACTTTTTTTTCCTCAAAGATCCAAACCGACTTTTTCTGATAGATATGGGGATTTAAAATTTTTTAAAGAATTCTGGTTTTTTTTTCTATGTCAGAACTTTTTTTTTGAAGAATTTTTAAAGTCTGGTATTTTTTTTTTAAAGCTTTTTTCAGAGGTAGCGCTTGTTAGCGCCAAATTAATGCACCTATACACAAAAAAATAGAGGACACAAGATATAATTTTTTTTCCAGACTTTTCCTGAGTTTTTAAAGTCAAAATTTCGTAAAAAATACCCACAAAAATCATCATTTTTGCATTTCAATGCTTTATTTTTCCCAGACGGGAAGCTGAAATCACAAAGTATTTGGGCTTAACTTCTAGCTGTTTTAATTACCTTACCAAAGTTCTTTACAACCAGACGTAAGATACTAGAGCTATGTGAAAAAAACAAGCGCTACCTCTAAAAAAAGCTTAAAAAAAAAATACCAGACTTCAAATATTCTTCAAAAAAAAGTTTTGTCATAGAAAAAAAAAAAATATCATCAAACCATTTCTAAGCCCCAAATCTTTAAGGAAAAGTTCGTTTTGTTCCTTGAGGAAAAATCGTGTTGACTAGTGTAAGCTACGCAAGACAGACACCAAAAAGTTAGATTATTAAATGCATAACATCCGATTTGAGAAACTAAGGAATGGTTAATGTCTGTCATTGTTGGTTCATCTATTTGTAATAAAATAAAGATATCCCCTAGACAAATTGTATCTTGAAAATTTGCATTTTATTGGGAACCTATTTGTAAAGAGAGTAGCCTAACTAGAGATACATAAGACATACATAAGACATACATACATACTCGTACATGCTGAAAGTAGATTTTGACATTAAATTGAACTAGCTAGAAAAGTCAGGCATTATGGCTCGAAGCTCGAAGATCATCTCGGAGATCCTCAAAGCATACATATATGTATATATAGTAAATATATTCAATCAATATATCGAAGGCGGCTGCACAAGCTAATCAGTCCAACAATCCTCGCCAGCATCGCCGTCCTCCTCGTCGAAGTCCCGCACATTGAAATCCTCGTGGAACAAGTCCTCGCCCTCCTCCGAGGACTCCGACTGTCATCTATGGCCGTTGATGCGCTGCGGCAAGCTGACCACGCCCACACCCTTGGGCGGCCTGGGTATCCGTATGCTGGTCGATGGTCCCGCTCCACTCGAACCCGAACCAGATGCTGATGAAGTCTTTGCGCCCGATGCGAGTGTGTTGCCCGACACACTGGGAATCAGCTGGGCATTCATCATGGACGAGTGCTCGAAGCAATTGCAGCAGAATTTATCACATCGCACCACCATTACAAGTCCAGCCATTAGCCAGATGACCAGACCCGGCCACGAATGAACCGCACAGCCGCTGAACAGGACAACGCCCAGCAGCAGCGACATGCCACACAGCACGGGACTCACGTTGATCACACTGCCCGTGTACTTGGGTATAAATCCCATCATTATGGCCACAATGAACACCCCAATGGCTCCCGTAAACGCAGCCGGTGCCCAGTGCATCAGGAGCCCAGCCACACAGAGAGCAATCCCCAAGGCAATGACCACCAGGGCGAATATGGTCACACGCCAGGAGCTGACAGTGGGCACTCGAACGCTGCGCTCCAAGGGTCCGGCTGTGGTTACCTGTGAGAACGGGAGAAAATGGAATCAGTTGGCTGAGCCAAGCAGCAGTGATTCTGCTTAGATCTTACTTTAATCTTCTCCCGATATTCATCCACAATGGCATCAATGTCCGTTGAGGTGTCCGAATCGCTTTTGTCGAACTTGTCAGGGTACTCAAAGTCCGATGGCTAGAACAAAATAAAGGTATAAATGTTAGTATGAGTAAAAATATACGATAGCATCTATAAAAAATATATGGGATAAACTTTAATATATATTTGCATACACTTTCAGAAGGAAAAACGTTTAAATTTGCTTTAAAAAAACGCTGGAACTCTATCATAATGAGAGGCAAATGTAAGACTGCAATTTTTGAATATTAAATCTAATGACAGTATAGATTGGTTTCTTCCAAAGTAGGGCCCTCTATATCTCTAAAGATGTGAAGAGACATTTAATGTCCGGAGCCTAGAGCCAACAACTATACAATTCGAATTGCTTGGGCATGGCACAGCCAATTGATGCTCGATTTCCTCGCACTATCGAATGGTTAAAAATGGAATGTCTAATAATACAATACAAGGCATATTTTTTCCGCGACTGAGACCTAGAACTAGGTCAAAGCATTCGGCTCAGTCTCCAGCATCAGTTTGCTGTAGCAACGTTTATTGTTTTTGGTTTCTTGGGACCGACTTGTGCGCGTCGCGAATTTTGCTGTTGAATTTTACGGACCAACAAGTAAATTATTTGTAGGATTCTCCAGCCCAAACTCAGCTGCCTAAAGCATTGACACAAAGAGGAAGGCATCAGGTTAGAGACGGAGGCTAGTCAATGACAGAATTAAAGTATCAGTAGCACCCAATTATACAGCCGGATATATAGAACCTTGATGCCTTGATACAAAGAAAACACGTACACTCTATACGCTTTCCGGATAAAGATAACTCACCGGTGGCTCTCCATCCGACAGAATAGTGGACTCCACATCCCTGCCCTCCCGCTGCGGACAGGGCGATGTTGGTTCGCCCAGGAGTAGCCACTCCTTCTCGACTTCCTGCTTGTTCCTTGGCTTCGTCTTGGGCTTCCTTAGGCCACTGTGCTTGGCCAGACTGATGTTCCACAGACTACGTTTGAGGCGACTCGAGCTGGAGGTGGCCGCACTGCTGCAACTGCTGCTCTTGGCAATGGGGGCCGTGGAGAGGCGACTGTACGAGAGTGAGGACTCGCTGCTGGGTTGCATGAACTTGGGCCGGTAGGGGGTATACAGCAGATAGAAGGCACGCAGGAATCCAGCACCCATGTGGCTGGCGGCCAGGGTGTAGCTGAGGTGCTGCAGGGGACAGGCAAAGGCGAGCATGGCGCACAAGCTGCCGGCAATAAAAACAGCCAGCACGGGATTGCCACTCTCCGAGCTCTCGTAGCTGATTTGCTTGGAGAGGATGCGCCACTCCGAAGTGGCCAGCCGCACCACAATCCCATACAGCTCTGGGAAGAGTTCCAGAAAGGCAGCCGAACTGGTGAGCAGGAGCATGCAGGCGGAGGCAGGCACCAGCTTATGGAAGCCACTCTCGTCGAGGATGTTGAACAGAGGCACAGCCACGTACTCCTCGTGGGTTCTATACGAGGGGAGAGCGGGTTAGCCAATGGTTAAGCTTAAGATTGGACACACTCGTACTCACTTGTAGTGCACCACTGTGGAGAGGCATACGGCTGTCAGGAGCAGGGAAACACAGACCAGGGCTGTGATCAGGCTGGATGTGTACCGTCCACTCCGATGCTGTTGCGGCCATTCGCTGGGAAAGCTGTACGTCAGCAGGGCAGTGGCCAGAAAGACCTAGAAAGAGGCACCACAACGTTAGAAGATCCATTTATTGGCCAAAGATTGTCATAAGCCAATAATAAGCATTCGCTGGGCTGGATGCCCTAAGGGTCCTCAACAATTGTTCCTTCGCCTCTGGCAAAGCCTTTTCTTTTACTATCTGACTGGACGCTTTGGGCCATAAAAACAAATACGGATAAAAGAGAAACCCGAACGCGGCACTACGTGTCATAATCAAAAGCCCGTATCCTGTGGCTTCAGCGGCGGTCACGCAATTGCCGCCAGTCACGACACCAAAAATCGATAAAACAAAAGGGAAGAAAAACACTGAGACACGGAGAGACTGGTGGCATAGTGCACTGACCCAGTAACACAGCCAGAGCCAGAGGGGGCGCATAGTATCCACTGCTACTTACACTGCTAATGCCATCGGGCTGGAAGTGGCTATCCGAGGACCAGGCCAACAAATCGCCACGCCACCAGCCAACGGCGCTGAGGATTGCATTCAAGCCGAACATCCCGAGTGTCATGATGAGGCTGAAGGCTTTCGAGTGCTGTGAATGACAATATGGTAATGCAGTGAGTGCAGGGTGCCAGATATAGGGGAAGACTAGAGAGCACTTACCTCCAGGCCCAGCATGAACATTCCAGTGACGAGAAAGACGACAGAGACACCTAAAACATCCGGCCAGGGCTCGTTCGTGGGTGCATTGCGGCCCAAAATGAGTATCCTGGCCAAGCCGCCAGTCATGGCATCCAGACAGGCACTCAGTGTCCTTGCCAGCGCTGCACAGGCACACATGGCCGCCAAAGCATCCAGCCATATGGCCAGAAA